ATATTTCAAGTGAAAGTTGTTTTCTTAAAAACAATATTTTTTGTTAACTTAGATTCTGCTTCAGTTGAAACTGTTTCTTTTGGTGACCTTAATTTTCTGGTCATTCGCCAAAATCGAAAACATTTATAAAATTACATAGAATTATTTCACAGATAAAAGCAGAGCCATAATGTGCTTTTAGGTCGAAAAAATAAATTAAACAATAAATAAAAGGAGGAAGATGTACAACTCTTGATAAACTGAAACATAATATTTTTTTTTCTTTCATTAATTTAAAGCAGAGAAATGATGTATATATACATATGTACTAGACTAATATATATTTTAACGATAAGTATTTTGCTGTTGTTTCTTGTTTTACATTTCAGACTATACGAAGTCATAACATCTAAAAATAATGATATTTTTCAGAAAATAAAATTTTTTTCTTGATTCTTGTTCTACATTTCAAATCATTACATTTAATTTCGATCAAGTTGCAAGTGTTAGATAAATACTACTTAAAACATTGAAACTTAATATAAATATTTACATTAATAGCAGAAACGAAGTTTTGTTTAGTATTAAACAAAATTTTTTTAGTTATTATTATTTGTCCTGTATTTTGAATGAATCTTTTTTTTTTGATTATCGTGTTCTTAATGATTTTTAATTTAATAATAAATGGGTAAACCGAGAAGGAAACAACAGTAAGAAAAATTATTACTGCTCTGTTAAAAATTTCTCGGAAAACTTGTTAAATAGAAATTTATTTAAATACTATTTTGCAATACTCAAGCATAACAGTCAAATAACCGTAAATAAAGTTGGTATTCAAACTGTTGACAGTGAGAAAAACCTTTTACTACTGCTTTCACCTAATACGGTTAAACAACCAGAATTTTATTTCACCAACTTAACTCACCTAATGAAACCACTTAGTTCTTTACAACTGGGTACATACTATAGCCGAGTGGGCTAATCTCTCAATCTGATTATCGATATATAGTCTAATATCTCCCATCTCTTACGATAGGTGAAACAACCATATAAACTAATTTAACCACATTCTTTGGTTTATTTGACAAAACACGACTCAACCACAGCTTTGTTCCAATGTCTATTGCCTAACGAAAAGCCTTGCTCCAATTTCCAATTAAATTTCCTTTTTGCGGTTTTGAAATCATTAGCTGTAAATGATAACAAAATCATTTAGTTTTGTATTCATGTTTTTTTTAACCATACTAGCTGTAAACGATTTCAAAACCATAAAGGTAGGAAATGTTCTTTATCGTAAACTTTACGGTTATTTGGATGGGCAGCCTGATACCGATTATTTTACCGTTATTTAAGAATGAATATTCTATCAGTGTGTAGTATCTATATTTTTGATTTCTAAACTGCTTTCAATTCATATGTATTAATAATCCTGTATGTCACATACTTGGATAACATAAAAAAAATAGTCTTCTTTTTGTTAAAAATTTAATATTTTCTTTCGTTTATTTTGCATTAAATTGTATATTATACTTTTTTAATTTTAAATTTTTAAGTTATAAACTGATGATTAAACTGAAATTTAACTGATTTTAATTTAACTGAACATAGTTCTCTATACTCGAGAAGTTAATATTTTGTGATCTTCGCATCCTGAATAATAACAATTATTTAAATATTAATTTAAAATTAATATTTAAAAAATTGTTTAATTTAATTAATTAAAACTAATTACTTAAGAGCAATTTGCAAAGTGTATTAGGTGAAATTTAATTTTTTTTTAAATTAATTGAAATACATCTCTTTCAAAAGAAATATAATAGTCTTATATTTCTCTAATTTTATACCATCTAATTAGAAATTAATCCATTAAATTATTTATTCCGTAGTTTCTTTGCATATTTTAAATATTGAAGTTTATTCTTATAATAACTACTTAAACTTTTCTTTTTTTCTACATGAAACTTTTTACGATGCTATTAAAATATTCGAATTATTCTAGGAAATTAATTTCTTAATTTTTATTTTCAGATATTGTCAGAGATTCAAAGAATGATACTATAAGCAGTCAAGGTAATATTTTCAGTTTTTTTTTTCTTCACTTTCCTAATTTATGAAAAGATCAATTTATTTTGTTTTTTCCTGTCACATCTCCTTGTCGCATTTGGTTTTATTTCAAACATTGTTTTTAACACTTTTAATTTTGCTATTTAGATTATATTGTATATTTTTACATTGTATATAATATGTTGTAAATTATTATATTGTATATATTATGTTATATGTTTTTATATTGTATGCTATTATATTGTATTATATTGTATCATTCACTTTCTTTTTAACACCTCTAACCCCGTAAAATAAGTATATGTATAATAAATTATTCTTATAAGTAAATAAATTATAATAATATAAGTAAATAAGTAATAAGTAAATAGTATAATAGGTAAATCAATTATTCTTATTGTAGGGTAACAATATAAAATTGTTTTACGCGAATGGAATATCTCATTACAGTAAAAATAGTTTCCTGTAAGTAATTACGGTAAACAAATGCTGGTACCCTAGATGTAGCATCTTGAAAATCCATTTTACCGTAAATACCATTTTTACCGTAATTTTTATAGTAATAATTAATTAATTACAGTGATTCGAGGATTTTACAGTAAATATTACTATTTGAATTACGGCATATCAGTACCTTAAAACTTTACGGTACCGGTATCCTGAGTGCCGGTTCCTTTTACCTTAATTTGATTCGAAAATTTTTACAGTGTAGAACTGCTGTAAAAAAGTTTCATTATAAATGGAATCACGCAAAAATATTTTCTTTTACGGAATCGAATTTGAACAAAACATCAAACAGAACAAAACAGATATGAAAAAAAAGAAGAAAAATTCAGGGTTCGTAGTGGAAATTCCGTGGCCAAAAGAAAGTACTGAATCTAAGGTGGAAAATACTGTCTTAAAAATAGTACATACTAACTTAAAAATAGTAAATACGGCATTTAACACAGTAAATATTGTCTTTAAAAGAGTAAAAAATGACTTTAAAATATTAAACGCAACTTTTCTTTTTTTTTTGCTTTTTTTTGCGGGAAATGAAGGCTGGAATAAAGGGAGCATTTTAAAAAAATATTTGCTGTAATACTTTTTTTCAAATAATATTTTGACTAAATACTATTGTAAGAGCTTTCTAATGGTTTTGGTACATTGCATTGATTTTTGTAGGTGGTCTTATATTTCTTGAACATACATATTATTTATATTTATGAAAACTTAAGTCAACTTCAATGAAATTTCAACTTGTATATAAAAATTAAATTCGTATCAAAAATATTTTACAATTTCAGCAGTTTAAATTCGCTTGGTAAAAATGTGCAAGATGAGTCATCTTTTTCAGAAAGGTATTGGTAAAAAAAAGAAGGGAAAAAAACAAGGAAAAAACACTGTAGTCGCTTTAGACTTTTGTTTTACTTGACCATAAGTTCAGTTGTAATATTCTTTAATATTATGTCATTAAAATGTTCAGAACTTTATTACATTTGTTTTACAAATTTTAATGTATTTTTCCTTTTTATTGTATGTTTCCTACCTCCTCTACCTTCCCTTCTCTCAATTTTGCTGAAAAACAAATTCACATTCCCTTTTTTCTTTCTTTTTTTTTTTTTTTTTTTTTTNTTTTTTTTTTTTTTTTTTTTTTTTTTTTTTTTTGCTTTTTGAAAATATTTAAAACATTTTTTTTTATTTTGAAATCAAATTTCTTTTAAAATATTTTTTTTAAAAACAATTACTTTTTATGTTAAATATTTTTTGATATTTAATACCACGTGCAATCATTTTTATTTTTTCTATTTAAATCAATCTAAATAAACGTATCATTATGCAAAAATTATATGAAAAATGATGGTTGTATATTAAAAATAAATACTTGAAATTTTAAATCCATATTCATAAAACTTTCTTGTTCTCAAAACGATTAAATATTTTATTTTATTACGATTATATTTTAAATTCGTATTCATAATAATTTCGGGTAAAACAAAAAATCTATTAAACTGTTTTTAACTTATCATATACATTAATTTTATGTACTTTGAACAAAAAATATAAATTCTTAAAATTCTAAATCTTTATTTACAAATAATTCATGTTCTTAAAATGATAAAATATGAATTGTAAAAATTTTAAATACTTTTTTGTAACAAAACAATTTATTGCGAATAAAATTATAAATCCTTATTTTTAACTAATTTGTGTTCTTCAAACAAAAAATATGAATTCTTATGCTTCTTATGTTCTTTAAACAAAAATGTTTTTCTATACAAAATACATGTTCTAAAAAATAATAAATTTATAATTTCGTAAAATTTTAAATTCCTTTCAATAATAATTCAATTTTTTAAACTTTAAAATATGAATTCTTAAAATTTTAAATCCTGATTAATTTCAAATTCATGTTCCTAAAACAATAAAACATGATTTCTTGAAACTTTAACCATTATTATTGAAAACTTCCTGTTCTTAAAATGATAAAACATGAATTCCTAAAATTTTAAAATCTTTTTTATAACAAATTCATATTCTTAATTAACAATTCTCGTCATTTAAATTTCTGACTCTTTTTCGAATTCGTGTTCTTGAAACTATAAAATATGCTTTCTTAAAATTTTAATCCATATACATAAAAAATTGTGTTCTTAAAATGATAATAAATGAATTTATAAAATGTTAAATCCATATAAAAACAATTTAAATTTCATTTCTCGCAATTCTTCGAGTCTTTTTTTATTTATATAAACTGTAAAATTGTTGAATTTAAACGACGGTCTTCCTTCCCAAACTCCTTCAATCCTATCAACCAACAGGAAATTGTGTTTATAACGGCACGTCGTTTTCTGTGGGGGATGAACTCCCCACGAGGGGTCTCTGCCTCATTTGCCACTGCTTTGATGGTTTCCGGGAACCCAACGCTTTCAGCTGCAACGTTATTGACTGTCCGTGGGAGGACTACCATAGGAGGTTTCCAGGATGTACTCCCATTTATGCTGACAGAGATTGCTGTCCTATAGGATGGGAATGTGGTACGCATTTCATTCTTAAATATACAGTCATATTATTAGAAGCACTCTAAGATTCTAAGTAAAATCTTAATTATCAGGTGATTACGTGACTGTCTGCACTTGTTTACGTTCGTGTATTAATGGGTTAACACTGTAATGCAATACGTTAAAAATAAATACAAAGAGGAAGTATATTAAAAATCTCCCGAATAAAAATCCATTACATACATGTTTAACTATAAAAGTATTGCATATAAACTCGTGCAAATCATGTCATTATTAAAACCTTGGCCAAAGAATACCTAGAGAAGAGACCAAAGAATACCTTGTTTGCCATGATTAAAACACTCCTAATAATTTATTTGAATTGTTATATTATATACTAATAGTATAATGCTTGGTGTATAGTAAATATTCTATGCTTATGCAATATATAGTCTAATTTATCCTGTCGTTAAATTTATATGATATGTCGTTTCATTTAACCAATGGACGTAAGCAAGTGCAAACCGGTTTCAGTCACATTAAAAACAAACAAAAAACTGTATAGTATCACCTGATAATTAAGATTTTACAGAGAATCTTAGAATGTTTCTAATAATTTTGCCACGGACTGTATTTGCTGATTCAGAACTGCCTTGTCAATAAAATAATGTTAAAATTTATAATAAACAACGGTTATAAAAAAGAAATGGACTTGATACCTGGAAAATTAACTGAGACTATACCAACTCTATTTTTTTTTAAATTCTACACGCATTTTATATTTTTACTTTTTCATGCGGAACCATCGAAATGTTTATTTTTTGCATTTTGAAATTATTTTATTTCACAGTTTTCCTTCTCGGGATTCTTTTTTCCATCTTTTTAAATTTTGTGCTGATTAACCTTGATTAGAGTGCATTTAACAGGAGAGAAAAACTTACATCCATCTATTTTACTGCTCTGTTAATAGTGGAATAGCATGAGGAGGTAATTTTAAGTTGAGGTTTTTATATGTATATATATATATAGAGGTTTTTTAGCATTAGAATAGCAATTAGTGGTCAAATTAAAATATTAATTAAGTAATACTTCAAAAATAGGATAGCTTAACAATGAACACTTTCTTGGGATTGGGTAGAGTCGGAGTAAAAGCTGAAATCGAATTCTCAGGAAAATCTGGACTCTGAGTTAGATTCAAACATTTCAACTACCGACTCCACATCTTTGAGGAATCCTAAGAAATACACAAAACTTAAAGCCATACACCGAAAACATTAATAAAACCTAACTATTTTAGTTTTTTGTGCAGTTATTGCCCTTCCCAGAGATTTTACGTTATTAGATTAAGCAAAATATTTTTATGAGAAGTTTATCCCACCAAAATAAAGATTAAGTGTCATTAGAATCACTAAGCGTGATGCAGTTACTCAAGGTCAATACATGAATGTCAATTTTCAAAATCAAACAATTTTCTCCAATACTTTTCTGGGCAAACAGTAGAAAAACTATTGCTTCAGTGTCCGCACAGTAGTACTTATATTGGTATGTACGGTACGCATCAAAAACACCAGAATACCGAAATCAATTAAGCATCATTTTATTTTATTTCATAAAAGTCGTTGAACAGTTGACCCGATTTTGGGTTTACGGATAGTAATATTCAACTTAGATTGTAATTCTTTTTAACAATTCAGATGACAAGAGAACTCCTGGATCAGTACCCCTAGAGGTATTGATTTGTTAAGGGAACATGGGGTACTTTGCAACTCGACAAATTTAACGTGAATCAGTCACCATTTACTACAAGGACCGAACCCGAAACCTCCACCAGGTTGGTAGGGCACTGGACATGGGCCCAGTGCCCTACCAACCAGGCGATCCCAGCCCTAATTAAGCATCATTGGGGTAAATAATAGTAAGGTGAATTTTTCAGTTTCCATGAACGAAACAGTACTTTTTCTTCATTAAATTTGCCTTCGAAAATTCGTCTTCCAATGAGGTGAACCGGGTTCTGTTCGTAACGAATTCCGCATCCAGCTTGCACCGACCACAGTGCTGACGTGAAATATCCTCAGTGGTAGATAGATCATGGGTTAGAGTCCGTTTATCGTTAGGCTAACCGTGGGAGGTTCTCGTGGTCTCCCTCTTTATGTGTCGCAAATGCCGGTTAGTTCCATCATAAAGTCCTCCGCGAAGGCAAATTTCTCCTTTGATTTGATCCAGATGGAATCTTCAGTGTTGAGCTCCAAGTTACAAAGATACGGTGTTGAACATTGATAGTCGTAAACTCACGAATTAGGTCGGCTGTTCAACATCAGCTAAAACATAAATTATGTTAACTTATAACTCAGAAAAATCACCTTCATCAGCCAGCTTTCAAAACGTTTTAGGATGTTTCTCCAAAACCTAAAAATAGTTTGCTAAAAAATATTAGGAGAAAAACTACTACGATACCCTTGTTCAAAATTACAAGGCTAAATATTTGATCATTGGGTGTTGTAAACCCAAAAATTGTGCCGGCTGTTCACCAACGGTTATAAAATATGAAAATAAAATATTTCATTGTCCAGTGAAAAATGAATACCTATGATTTTGATCACGAAAGCTTTGTTATGTTTTCATAAATGATCTTTGAAAACCTTCCTTACACCCCCTTGTACCTTCTACCATATAAGCATTATATTTTTATAAATGAAATTTGCCTTCATTTACATTTGGATAAAAAATTGTTTATCATGAAAAAAAAACTCAGCTAATATCAAATTAGAATTTCTATTTTCTGTAAAATGAAAGAAATACGTAATTTTTAATACTTTTGAGCTTTTAAATTAGCAATGCTTCAATCTCTCGAAATACATATTATGCTCAATCTTTTTCCTCATTATCATTCATTTTTATCCTCATTTCGGTATGCATTCTGTGGCAACATTACACAAATGGGTGAGAATTTGTTTTGATTAGAATGACAAGATGTGCTCGTGTATTTCCTTTTTTTAACCATATTGATTTTCTGAAAAATTACTAGCGTTTCTGCGAACCATTTATTTTAGATTATCACTTTGCATTAAGTAAATCATGAAATTCAGCATGAAAAATCGATTTACGATGAGTTCAAAAGAAAAGAAATATTTATTTTGGAGGGAAAAATTATTTATTTTGGAAATCATTACATGAATTTCGATTTGGTTTCTATTATCTTAAGAAAATTCCTGTCACTTCAACTTTAATCTGTGTTTTACAAAATTCACTCGAAAATTGTTTAAAAACATTAACGAAAGTTAATGTTTATAATTTATTCATATTCAAAAAAAATTACTCAATATTTGTTTCACACTAATGAGTCATTCATTTATAAAAATTGGTTTGTTTCGAATTTTTGGAAGTTTCATTATTTATATACGTTTAAAAAATTGCCTCGTTTGAACATTTTGTTAAATTTATTATTCACGAACTTTTAAATATTTCATCATTTAAATACTTTGCGGAATAATTATTTTTCATGCTTTTATACTTTTTCTGAATTTGGAAACATTTTAAAAGTTTTTTTTAAAATAATGATGAAATTTTAATTATTCATGTACTTTCAATTTTTTTTCAGTTTTTTATAATCTGTGGAATTATAATTAACCATACACATTTTTAAGAAATTTATCCTTTGGATGCTTTGAAAATTGTAATCATTTATACATTTTCAAAACTATTTTGAAAATGTACAACTATTATGTACGATAGTAGTTATAGTTTTGGAGAAAGTTTCACATTTTAATTATTTGTAAATAAAAATAAATTGTAATCATTTCTAAAATCCAAAAATGCCTCATTTTGTCTGAGTTTTAGTATATCAGGAACTCCTTTCAAAGATTCTAGAAATATTTGCATCAGAAACTCCTTTCGAAACTTTCTGTGATGTATCTCAATGATATATCAGAAGCACCATTCCTAATTTCTGAAATATCAGAAAGTCTGTTTATGAGATATACGTTTCCAAAACTCATGTCATAATTGTCTGAGATACATGTATCAGAAACTTTTTTCTAAACTTCTAGAAATATTTAATAATTTCTTAAATATATATAGTAACTCCTTTCACAATTTTCTAAGATATATCACAAAGATATATCAGAAGAAATTTTCCTAATTTTTTGAAATACGTATCAGAAATTCTGTTCCTGAGATATACATTGCCAAAATTGTCTGAGATACGTATATCAGAAACTTCTTTCAAAACTTCTGGAAATATTTGATAATTAGGCAATACAAAATTTCTTTAATATATTATAATAACTCCTATATCTATATTATAATATTAACGCCTTTCACAATTTTCTGAGATATCTCACAAGGATGCATCAAAAGCCTATTTCATAATTTTCTGAAATATTTATCAGAAATTCCTGAGATTTAAGATTCCAAAACTCCTTTCACAATTGTCTGAGATACTTGTATTAGAAACTTTTTCAAAACTTTGCCTGTCCCGCAGTGGACTGGTCGTTAAGACACGGTTCCCAGCAGATCACCGAAGTCAAGCATCACTAACTGCGGTCAGTGTGCGGGTGGGTGACCACTTGGATCAGTCTGCGTAGGGACCGAGGGTGTGCGGTATGGGTCCTCGTTAAACTGTTCTACCTTAAAGTGCTAGACTTCGCTTGCGGGTCGTCGAGCTACCGAAGCGGGGGTGTCATCCCCTCTGCAGAGGATTAAATTGTGAAGGCTTGTCTTCGGATCATCCTCAGATATGTTTCCCAGACCGTCGCCAATAGCCCACTTTGCAGCTCTAGTGCGACGTAAATGAACTACAACAACAAAAAAACTTTGTCTTTGTTTAATCTTTTTTTGCCTGTTTAAATAAAGTGAGTATTAAATATTTCAGATTATGGTACAGGTCAAAGCCAAGAACTAATAAAAGTGGGATGTGACTGTGAGTGGCGATATCTTAAACACTATGAAGCAAAGGGATGCCGTCCCGTCTATGAGGAGAGACCGAGACAAAAGTGCACTTGCCCTTGGAGATTCGACTGCTCTCAAACAAATGAGGTGGAAGTCGACGATAAAGGTGACACTTTTGGATTTGTAGTTTATAATTAATTAATTCTAAATGCTCATTTGTAAAATGAAGTTGTTTTTTTATTATTATTGAAATGCTCAATGATTTTAGAGTTAAAATGCTAAATGCATTTCATGTTAAATATTTTCAGAAAAAAAATTTAGATGAACAACAACATTAAATATATTTAGCATTTCAATGCTGAAAATATTTAGCATGGAAATCTTTTTGTCACAAAATGCTAAATGTTTTTAGCAGAATTGTCTAAATATTTTTTAGGGTTTAAATGTTTTAACTGATGAATGCTCGTGGTTTTTTAAAAGTGCGACACCAGGCTATATCAAAAACACAACGATTTCTTTAATGTATACATATACATTCGACCGAATCCGTTTAAATTTCGAATTTTGTCATTTCAAAGTACACAGATTAAAACTATTTAAATGTTTGTGTTCCTTACAGTTCAATAACTTTCAACCATTATTAAATAAATAATATATTATAAATTAAGTAAAATTATATGGAATTATTTTTAGATACAACAATGTTCACGATTACATAGTTTCACTTTAATGGTTTAAAAAAAGTTGCGAAATAAGCAAGAATCATATGACGTAATTTCGCCCACCATTGGAATTGTATTTTTCAGATGGCAGCTAGTTTGAGAGTCAAGAATTCAAATTCTTCGAAAGAAAGGCATGTTTATTGAGAGGGTTTGTTGCATGTTTGTTTATTTAGTGCGTTTTTGTGTCTGATTTTGTAATCCAAAATATCGTCTGTTCGAGAAAAATAGCCCTCGAAACATTAAGATTAAATTCTAAGATTTACGTACTAATTAGTACTTAAAAATTCAATGTTGTTGTTGTCATCTTACGCCACCTCTCAATACTGACAAGTCTATTTTGAGGCAAGAGAGGCGCGCTTCTTCTTGTTTTTCGGTGGCACAATCCACTGCTATGGCCAAGAATTCGACTTCTGCCATGCCCATACGTCCCATCCCATTTTACGGGGAGGACACATTAGCAGACTATCCAACCGCGGATCATCATTTTGACCTGAAACAAAACACGATCAATCTTCAATCAAACTATGTGATAACGGCAGATTTATCTTGCACCAGTCATCATTTTGTACACGGGGATCGAAGTCACGACCTCTTGGACATGGGCCCACCCCCTACTAACCAGGTTATCCCGGACCTGTAAAAATTCGATCACTAGCTCAAAAGCTATTAAGCTGTTTTCGTGCCCTAAACAATAAATATTTCATATAGTTATAATATTAAGGTAACAATATATTTTTCAGTGTGCATGTACAAAAAGAACATCTACCCCGTTGGTTCCCGCATACCAACCTCCAATGCTTGTGAGACTTGTACTTGTGGTCGAGACTACTTCACACAAGCTGCTACCATTCAGTGCACGACACTAGAATGCCCTGCTGTATATTCTCAAACGCCACTGCCACAGGGGTGTCACTATGTATATAAAGAGAACCAGTGCTGTCCCACAAGTGTCGAATGTCGTAAGTGAATTCATTGATTTTATTTATTTTTTATTTAAACAAGTATTGGTTTGATAATCACTATCACTTAAAAAAAAAATCGTCGACAAAAGACAAATTTTGATTATATCTGTGATTTTCAGGGAAAACGTCGTAACTACATTTTTTTTTCTCCATTAGGTGATCTTGGTTTTTAGAAAAAGCGTGATTGGTGTTATTTTTCTTAAAAGTAAGAGGTTTTCTCAACTATGGGTTTCAGAGAAAAGTCGCAGGCTTTATTTTTTTCGAAATTGAGTACTTCTGTGGAAAATGAAGTAGCTGATATTTTTCTTTAAATTGAGTGGTTCTACTACGACTTTTGTTTAGATAAACTTTTCAATTGTTTTTTTTTTACAATATTAAATGTTTTCCCTGTGCTGTTTTAAAGTCGGATTTTTCTTTCAAATTTAAGGGAATTAACTGCGATTCTTAAAAATTCAGCATTTTTCTTGTGATTTAGGAGGAAATAATAATAATAATAACACGAACACAGAGACCTGTACTTAATCATAATTGGATAATTAAAAATTTTCGAAATTAAGTTATGGCCAAATAGGGTTTTCTTGGTGTTTCTGATGACACTTTGTAAAACCAAGCTCGCCAGCTATTAGCTTTGCGAATTAAGTCCGAAATGTGAGCTTTTCATCTGAAAAGTGAGCACCGCAAGGGTGAAAATAGGTCTTGTCTCAGAAACCCACGGTTAGTTGGAATCAACACTCATTCATGAGGCCCTTTTCTCAATTTAAACTAAGATCTGAAGGGGAAGGATATTTTCTCCAGATCCCTGTGCCCATGGTAATGGTCAACGACGACCAACCACAGAATTTTCGATTTCACAGAATTTTCGAGCACGTAAATCAAATGTACTAGGTGGGTCTTAGCCGAATAGCGGATCGAATACGGGTGTATACCAATATTTTAAAATTTACTCTTATAGTTTATTATGAATAAAATGTTTTATGATAAATATTGACTATTTCTAATTATTAATGTCTGATTTAAATATTAGTTTTCTTATTTAGTTCAATACCGAAAGAAATTTCAAAGGAATGGATGTTTCGTAATTTTACTTAAAATATTATGAATTCACAATTATACCTTAGAAATATTTTTGAGAGAATATAAAAATCTGGATATGTTTAACTATAATATGTTTTGAACCATTTTATATGTTTAATTGAAACCTTTAAGAATCCTGTAACTTAAATATAGCATATTATGTTCTGTTTGATTAGTGAAATTGTAATTCCATATAAATTAAATTGTGTTAAACTGTGTAAAGCTAATTTCTTACGTGTAATTTTACGGACTAAAATTACTTGAAATTTATACTATATAGAAAACTTTTTTGTTATGTCAATGACTTGCATATTTTTAATTATTCATTTTTCTTCTTTTTACAGCTGCTGCGGAACAGCAACAAAATATTTACAAAGGTAAGCTTATTTTATAAGTAGTGTTATGTTTTAGTAGTGTTATAATAGGTATAATAGGTTATAATAAGTATAAAAATTGTTATGTTTTTCTTTTATTCTTTCTTATATGCAGGAGATTTATATTCGACCAAAATATATCGTTTTAAAGAAGCTTATTTCAAAGGTTTAAATTTTCAAAAAAATGTGTTTCGCTAATCTTGACATTCTAGCTATATTTATATCTACGGTACTTTTACATTGTTTGAAAACACATGAACTATTGTTAATTAGTATGATTTTGAAAAACTTTTAAGAGTTTTGGTTAAATTGAATTCAAAAGAATGCATCATTTATGAGTGGTATTTGAGCTGCTGCAGTTTACTTTTTTTATCTGACGCTGAACAGTAAAAACTTTTTAGTTTTCGCTAATTCAAACTCATAAAAATGTATCATATTCATAAAAAGAATTTGATGTGTTGTCTTTTTTTCATTGATGACTCTGAATGGTCGAAACTTTCACGAACTCTGGCTAATTTAAACTCATAGAAATGTATCATATTCATAAAATGTTGTGCAATTTATTTTTAATTGCTGACGTGGAACAGCTAAATCACTTATACAATGTACCACCAATGTAAGAAGAGTAAAGAACTATTAAACCGTGATTTAAAAGTTTCTATAATTTTTAATTCGTCCCAGAAGTTTCTGGGTTAACGATTTCATTTGACTTCTTCTAAATTGAAGAAAGGTTCTTCTGAATCTAATTCATGAAATTATTAATACACTATCTTTTTTAGCACAAAAATAGATAATAAAAAAGGAAAATATAAAAAAGAAAAAAAGACAGTGATAGCCTTAAGATTATCACAGGTTACCCATTGACAAAATGGTTGTTGTCTAATTTTATTTTTTTTAATTTATCTACTTTTTATCCTCTTTACGCGTGATATTCACCTAACCTTTATTGAAAACGATCCTGTTTGAACTGAAGGTTAGAATTTCTGGTTCTTAATTAAAACAATTACAACAAAAATATCGTTCAAATGATGAAATTCTCTTTTATTCACAACTCGAGAAGTATTTATGGGATCTCTCTGGTCCCATATCTCAAAAATTAACTCACTCACTCACTCAATGCATAACAAAATTAAAAGTGAAAAAAAGGAATTCTAAAAAAATTATCAAACAGCAACGCATGCAATGACGACACATGCTCACTGGTTACTGTTTCTCATAAACGCAGTTGGAAAGTGCGATGACGTCCAAATAAGGTACGCAAGCCATCAAACCCAAAACAACACCCATTTTATCAATGGGTAATAACTTTTACTTCCGACTTTTAGATTAAACTAACCTACAATTATTGTGCATGGTTAAATCCCATGTAAATCTAAAGTCAAGAGAATTTCGATCCTTATTCCATCATCTAAAAGGAATATATTGTATCAGCACTTTAATGAGAGCAGTCCATTCAGCATTGCCAAGATTAGCTATATTTACGAAATAATAGTAATTTGAGACGATTGCTCAATATTCTGGCTTTTTATACTCATATATCTGGACTATGCTTGTATTGTAAAGATAAAGCCTTAACGAACGAAATAAGAACTTTTTTCTAAAGATATAACGTTCTCTTTTTCAAAACTTTTACTCAGAACATTCGTCTACCTCTTCAATTTAAGAGGTGGGAGCCGTGGTGGTTCAATAGACAGAGCTTTCGCCTCACAATGAGGTGACCCAAGTTCGAATCACAACAGTGGCTGGTTGATACGCATTCCGCTCCCGGCTCGTACCGAACACAGTGCTGACGTAAAATATCCTCAGTGGTAGACGAATCATAGCTTAGAATCCCCTTGCCGTTTGGCTAACCATGGGAGGTTTTCGTTGTTTTCCACTTCGTGCAGCGAAAATGCGAGTTAGTTCCATTAACAAGTCATCTGTGAAGACGAATTTCTCCAAATCCAGGGGTTCCCTTGTCTTATGGATCGGGTTCAAAATGACAAAGCTACGGAGTTGAACACAAAAGTAGTTAAATCAAAACTGTGTCGGCTGTTTAACAACTGGTCATAAAATAAAGAGATAGGAGAATGAAGGTTTAATTTTGCCTTTCAGTGAATTTGAGTATAATTGAGAATCGAATGTAAAGATGACGTCTTCCCTTGATTTAAATACGCAAGCTTCTGATTGGCGGGATCCAGAATTCCTAGCATTCATTCAAAATATTTGCATCGTAGTATTTGTACTCTTGGCACTCTGCCAAAAGAAAGGCTTTCTGAGCTTTATTTTGAAGTGTTGTCGCCAATTTTGTCAATTGTTTGTAGCCAAATGCACTAGCGATCTTTTTCCCATATCTGCTACAAAGTGCCTTCATTCATTAATACCTCCGAAATTTTAAGACTTAGCAAAGCAATTTTGTGAATATTTTAAAAAAACTAAAATCTCAATTTTTTCTCACTTAAAACCATTAAGCTATTTATTATGACTTCATTTATTACTCAATATAATGTAGACACTTTTCACTCTGAAATATGAAAAAATTTAATCTTTTCCCAAGAAATTGCATTTTTTTTAAAAACAAATATCATTTGAAACCTTCCTTCACTAAGCTATTCCTTTGTAACCTCATCTATTATTTAATAATATCGACAATTTTCATTCTGCATTATAAAAAAAAAACACACAATTTTGGATTACTTTAATTAACTCAGAACGCATTGCTATAAATGGACTAAAGCACTCTCTTACTATTGCAAAATTTACGAGATTCCGGGAAAATCGGTAAATCTAATATTTTAAATCCATATCCAGGAGAAACGGATTAGAGGATTATTTGTGAAATCATTTATGAATAAATCAGGGGAGATAGGAGGAATTAAACTTCCCTCGTGGCATGTCAGCTTTAATTAATCGGGGTTGATAGAGTTATGATTAAACTGAGGCACAGAGTGTACAAGATGAGTGTTATTACTACTGCATATTTGTAATTGCCATTTCGTTTGCCATTCCTACTTCAACTAAAACTTCATTATAGTTTTACTTGCTGTTAGAGATTACAACTCATATTAATTTATTTACTGCAATTTGAACTGAATTTACTCATTAAGGGTGTCTACTTGATTAACGTGTGAACTAACATTTTGAATAAAAAATGTTGGTCGTAGATATAACTATGTGAGAGCCACACAAATTATGTTATTAATATTGATACTGATAATATTTCTCACACATAGCGCTTTGCGCAGTGTTAATTATTTCAGATTCGATTCAGACGTTGTAACATATAAGCATCAAACTTTCTTGCTATTAAGTATTTTCTCTTATGGCGCGTGTTAGCAGTTAATAGTTTGATCAATGCAACTTATAAAGAAGGAAGATGAATGTAAGAAAAGGAATGTAAAAACGAACGAAACAATAAACTGAATCTCGAAAAAATCGTAGTTCATAATTGGAATGCTTCTTTATAGCAGCATGTAATGCATATTTCTGAATATATTTTTAAAAAAAAGCAAAACCTAAAAAGTATTTACAGTACATGTGGCGAACTGATAAGCTAGAAATAAAATGCTATATAATGGAATTTTTGAATTGGATTAAATCTTCATCAAGACTTGATATTTGAATCTTTATAAAGAATTAATAATGGTTAAGGTTGATAATTATTAAATTTCTTCAAAAGCATTTAAAACAACTAAAAAATGAGGCTTGTAATATTTAACATACATCTTTTTTATATATTTTGATAGTTTTGTGAAATAAATATGCTCCTCTTTAAAAGTGAGTAACAGCTCCACAGCCCCTGTTTTTAAACGCTATATACAAGCTATAAATTTTTTTTAATTTTATTTTTTAAAATAGCTATATTTTAAAATCCTAGCTTAACCCTCTGATTCCGATAGAGTCCTAGAATTTGTGTCCCTTCATTACGGGAGTTTTCTGAAAGCAGTTTCTATGATTGAACTCGTCCAAAACTATCTTCCTGTGAGGGGTTGAGGAGGGGTCAACGTTTTCTCGCAGTTGAGTATTCAAAATCACTCATGCGGCAAAGGAGGGGAATTGTTGACAAATTNATTAATTTTTTAATATCATAAATCGCGATGCGCTATGATCTATTTTCTCAATAAATAATGACCGAATTATTTTTTAAAGACCGAAAGATAAATAAATGACTATATATTCACTTTCTTACTGGTATTAATAATTTGAAACGCTTCATTTGTTGTGTTATAGTTTATAAAGTGTTTGATGATTGATTGTAGCGACTTGATTTTTTTAGATAGATAAAAATAAATAAATAACTTTTTTTAACTAGGACGCCATACTGCGTAAGAAAATTTTCTCCGCAAATTCTCTTTCTCCTTCATTACTAATTTAAAGTGTTAGAAAAAGTGAGTTCAGACAAACAGCCATGAAGTTTCAAATACTGAAAAGAAAAATTATACAAATGAAAATAAATTATGAGGTGATAACTTAAGATTACACAACCGAGAAGTTCTCTTCTGATAATTTGTTTGCATTTTAATATTTCGAAGTATTTTTTTCCGCAATTGGAAACTTTATGACTAACTCTAGGTTTGCCTAAACTTACTTTTTCTTTCTTTTCAATTTTGAATTACTAATAAAGGAGAAAGAGAATTTGCGAAGAAAATTTTCTTCCGCGGTATGGTGTCCTCTTGAGTGTGCTGGGGAGCGTTATTGCTGTTGCAGCAAATGATCTTATTTTCATTTGAATGAATGTCTAGTGGGTAATGTGCAGAATATCTAGGTAGTTTGCACATTACCAAGGTAATTTGAGAAATGAAGAAAGAAAATGATACTTTAACGGATTACCTTAGTTAATCTGCACATAATATGTTAAATATCTGATTTCTACACTTTAGCGGTAACAAATATACATTCGTTCACTCACTGATTTATTAATTTATTGAGTATCTCTTTTTTTGATCCGTTGATTTGTGCATTCACTGCTTTTCCTATTCATTCATTATTTTTAAGATTTGAAGATTTTCCATTTCAGAAGCTTATATCAAAGATTCTATCAGGGTCGATGATTCGTTGCAAAGTTAAGTTTTGTTAAGAAGACAATCCAAGCCAGGCGTCAAAAGATACCGCGAGATGGGGTTTAGCCACCCTCTTTTCTGTTTAAGCACCTGAATCGAATTTATTCTTATTTTATCTGAATAAAAAGTATTATTTTTTCTTTATTGCTACTGAACTGGAGAAGAATACTTCAATAATGAATTTCACTTATAAATGTGTTGAAGCTATTAGTAGATTAAAGCTGTAACGGCTGTATTCTTTCCTGTGCAACGCAAGAAATCTATGAAATATAGATAATAAAAATGTTAATGATTCGATTAAAAACGTGATTCTTTTTACTTTAAGCGATAGAATAATTGCGCAACTTTACATATGGTGGGATTAAGACATTTCCACTAGAAACGTATTTTACAAAAACACCTAATTCAAATAATGTAACATTAAATGTTACCACTGCCGCCAGGAGAGGCATAGAGGTTAAGAGTTACAACTTTTTGACTAACGGCATGATTGTGGTAATGTAGTCAGCATTACATATAAGCCACATTTACTTCCCAGACAAGTTGATCCAATTCTGGGGGAGCTACTGAGGATCGAATCCTAGTCCTTCGCAATGGTAGCTCAGTGTCCTTAACTACTGAGCCATCGCAGCTCCTCTAGTTTATAATGCAATGTCAAAAATTTGCTCCTCGTGTCAAAAAAAACTTCTATTATTTTTAAGAATGTTCGAAAATATTTTTTTATGAATAAAAGAAAAACTTCAATTGTTTGCAGTCCCTTCGTGTGAGTATCGAGGTAAGATGTATTACGATGGTGAGCAAATCTTTCCCGAAGAAGATCCCTGCCTCATCTGTCTTTGTGACGATAAATGGAAAGGTGTGGGTGGAAACAGCAGTTGTCGGCAGCACGACTGCATGCTGGAGAGAGACTCGAGGAAATTGAAGCAAGGATGCATACCTATCTACCACGAAAAGACCTGCTGTCCCATAGACTATCACTGCTCAGACGGTAAATATCATTCATTCGCCAGATTTAACTGGATTTAGTTAAAAATGTATTAGTTTACTATGCATATTAATTATATTTTTTGAAAGCTCTTGATATGGACCTGTTTTTCATAACAATTGAGAGTTTATAACAGTTACTCGGAACTATTAGGTCAATTTTATTCTGAAAATGGCTCCAACTGCCATTAAGAAGTAAACCACAGTTTTACGTAAATGATCTAATTTTTCAATAATTAAAAAATTATCCCAAATCTGCATTAGCTGTGCTCAAAGAAATTGCAAAAATTGAAAATTACTCATTAAATGTGATGTTTGTCAAATAGGTCAAAAAATTTCGACAAATTGAAGGTTTTTAAAAGAAAGCTTAACAATTTTTAAAGCATTCTATCCATTAAAAAAACCCGTAATTTTTGACGCCAAAATGGTGTATCTACTTTAAAATTACAGCTTTGCCACTAGTATTTGAAATGAGGCTTTTTTAAGTTTTTCTTGGAGAAAAAGCTCCGACAAACACTATTAAGACTTAAATTAGTTCCTTTGTTCTTTAATTCTTCTTTTTTTTTGTGCTGATTCCAAGAGGGAAAATTGTTTTCGTCTACTGGTTCTTGTTTTAAAGAACCAGCACAGATAAAATGCAAAACATGTAATTTCCATAGCCTTTCAAACAATATTTTAAAATTTTTTTTTCTGTACCAGTCTTCTGAAAAATCTGCGCAGATCGTTTTAAAAATCCAAAAATTTAATTTGTAAATTAAGCGTAACAGAATCATAAATTTGAAACTAATTAAAAAAATGTCTTCCTGTATAAATTAAGATCAAATAATCAGATCAAAATATTCAAGAAAGAACGCACAAAAGTCTAAAATGAAGTGATATGATAATCGCAACACTGATGGAGAAAAGTAGTTTGCAAATTTGAGATAACCTAAGTCAGAATCAGTATCTTATCAATTATTAAATCAGAATCAGTATAATTACAGGCACTGAACAAAAATACTTTGTAGACTTTACTAATTTTTTTGTATCAAAAAAATCTGTTACTCGTTGTGGTGGTAATAGTTATCGACAATGTCAACATCTATGAAAAGGTGCCCTGTCATACAATCGAGTTAACATGTCTTATATACTAGGGAATTGGAATTGTATTTTTGTTGTAGTAGACACACTATAGCACTCCCCCACCAGAGTTATATCTGTGATAGAATGCGATGAACGGATACCACTAGTTGATTTGTTGCTGTTTAGTGATAAGCCGGGAGAGCTGTATTAAGATCCTTTAAATGCTAATTGCGATATCTGTGTTAAGTTAACTGTCGTGGTCATTCCTGTGCTACCATAAGCAGTATACAGGCCAACGTTGTGTGTGATCGAGACGGAGTAGCAAAAGCGCGAGGTGGTGGATAATGTAGCAGTTACAAGTAGCGAGTCAACTGCTCAATGGGGACCATCCATCGAAGTAGGCCTTTCTGACGAGGTAGGCATGCTCACATCAAGTCCGAAAGTCGTCACCAATGTGGTGATAGTAGTTATCGACAATGTCGACCTTCATCTATGAAAAGGTACCCCCAACATAGAATCAAGTTGACATGTCATATAGTGAATTAGAATTGCATTTTTGTAGTGGTAGACGGAATTACACTCAATTTAAATGTTAAACTATTACTAACTATTACTCATAAACTATTACTATACTCGTTTGTAATTATGTGTTTATTTTCTTAACCAATTTAATTCAAATTCGCTTCGTTAAATTTTCCCAATTTATGAGGGCTTATCGTTATGAAAAAATTAATATTTATAAGCAGCCGTTAATATGGGTTCGAAAATTTTTATTGACATTTTCTCCACAAATCTGAAATTACTTCTCTTTTCGCTTAGAACTGAAAGCAAATGAATTAAAATTAATGACTGAAAACAGTGACACGACAAACATATTGAAAAAACAACAACAAAACTTATAAAAAATAAAGTTGATTAATAGAAAAAAATAAAATAGATATCTATAGATTTTTTTTTAATTTGGAACAATCAAAAGTCAGTTTTTGGAAGCATTTTTGTAAATATTGTATAAAATTTTCTCTTAAGTAGAGAAAGTCTGAATGCAGTATCAAAATTTGCAATGAATTGTGTCAATCAAAATTACTAGATTTGTTTGTAATTTCTTTGAGAAACGAAACGATTTTACTAAATTCTACTAAATCAGTCAAAATAATGAAATCCCGACAATATTTCCAAACTTTATTGTTGTTCCGATATTATGCTTCTTGAAATTATTTAGTTTATATATAGTTATTTATTGCAGTTACAAATTATTATTTATAGTTATATTGATTATTATTTATAGTTATATTTATATTAATAATTAAAAAGAATGAAAAATTTGTAAATTTAAGTTTTGAATCAAAATAAATGTATATAAGTTAGCAATAATTAACCTTTAAAAAAATCGCAAAAATCATGCATACATTTTCTATGACAATGTTAATGACCTTGAATGACAATGCAAAAGTAAATTATTGCGACTAATAATTTATTTCTAAGCTGCAATTCATTATTTTAAGTTGCCTTTTTTAATAATTTAGTTATAGCTTTTAGTTGTCATCACTTGACAAATTTGAGGATGTAAATTGTTAATTAAAAATATAATATTCTGTAACTGAAAATTAAATTTTATATAAAATAATGCTATTAATGCATCATTATCAATTGTGTTAAAAATTAAACACATATTTTTCGAAATCCAAAATGCAAGGAAACACGCGTTCGTATTAAATGATTTTATGACAACGTAAGAAAATCGAAATTCAATCCAAAGTAGCAGATTGTAACTTAACCACTTGCCAGTTGCTTTTATCAACAAAAAAATAATAATAATAATAAAAATAGCCAAAGACATGCTGTATCAGTTGGAAATTAATTATCAAAAAAATTTTAAGATATTCATTATTCTTTGCCCGAGAATAGAAAAGATTATTTAAGATTTTATAAAGCTCGCTGTTGTTCACTAAACCAATTTCTATAAAATTTGTAAAGTTTACAGTAACAGCCATTTAACAAAAAATATTTTTTATAGTCTGCATGAAACGAGCTGTAGTTGCTCAAGGGATAGAGCGTTAGCTCTCCAATGAGGTGAACCGGGTTTGAATCCCGGCGATGTCTGGACGATACGAATTCCGTATCCGGTTCGCACCGACCACAATTTACGTAAAACGTGCTGACGTAAAATATCCTCAGTGGTAGATGGATCATGGGTTAGAGTCCCCTTGCTGTCAGACTAACCATAGGGGTTTTTTCGTGTTTTTCCTCTCCATGCAAGGCAAATGCGGGTTAGTTCCATAAAAAAAGTCCTACATTTTGACAAATTTCTCCCAAAGCTTGATTGAAGAGTTACCTTGTTTTCGGTTGAGTGACAAGGCTACGGAGTTAAACATTAGTAATTGTAAACCCAAAATTGGGTCGGAGGTTCAATGCCGGTTATAAAAAAAAAATATGAATGGGAAGTTATAATAGTGTTTATATATTTTTTAAAAAAATATTTTGAATAGAAAAAGTTCATTATATTTTTAACTCGTTTTCACACCGTTAACCTCAAAAGTTGAATAGTTATTATCATCATACCCATAGTTAATTAATAATTTATTTTTTTTTTTTTTTTTTGCGTAGGAGATGAAGATTTTAAATCCATGAAAGTTCCCAGTTTCAAATTGGATGATGATGAAGGTAAACTGACATTCTTGATTTTGTTTGATCTCCTTATAAACTTAGTTTATTTCATTATGTGATCCATTGTATACATTTCATTGTTGATATAAAAATATCCTTTACCCTATTGACTTGCAGACTTACATACGCGAATATGTTGATGCTGTAAACATATATTAATTACATTATGGACTTTTAAACTTACGCAATGTGCTTAGATGCTTAATCGTTTATTCAATTGCGACAATAAACAAATTACAATTTTATTTGCTTATATGCGTGATTTTGTATTTAATTGCTGATACGAACCCATAACGTTATTGACTTCTAGTATTGCGTAGTTGGCTTACATGCTCCATTATGTATTTAATTGCGCTTCTAAACAAACATCCATTTCTGCTTGAACGAGGGAAGTTTCAGTTCGTAGAGGGGAAATTTATTCTGAGACAAGTCCGTTGCTTAGCAACCCTTGGGGGAAAAATCGAACCATTTTATCAAACTCATCAAGATGTGATGAAGGACTGAATATCGCTGGAGGAGGTCTTTTAAAACATTTAAAATTTCATTTCATAATTTTAATCCCTTTTGTAATCAATTAAATCTCAGGTTTTCACAGATTCAATATTTTATTTAAAACCTTGACCAAATGATTGTCGAAATATATTATTTTTAGGGCGGTGAAATGTGTCTAACTCTAGACTAGTAGTTCCCAACCGACCCATTTCCTACTTTCCTTGTTGCCAAAAACTCATTTACTCCATTTCCATAATTTAAGACGCAGCTATAATATGTTTATTCAGATTTTTTTCTGATCTTGTTTTAAATTGAAATCAACTTAACATAGAAAATTTATATTTTTTTAAAGTTTACGAACCAATTATTTAAACAAAATTAATTAATGCATGAACTGATAGAGAAAAAAAAATATCAAAATGATAGCAATTTACTCACTTTAAGTTCCAAGAGAGATGCCAGTGATTGTTTTCTCCTCGCTAATTTTTGAATGTATGTAATGTCCAACGCAGGCCATTTGCAAGGTATTGGACTTGAAAAACCTTCCCAAATTGAAATTTTTTATGGTTTTCCATTGATGGACCAACATAATCTTGATGGTCCCCATCAAAAATTCCATCATAAACTAATATATTTTTGATGGTAACCAACATGAATTACCATCACTGATTTATGATAGTGCAACATAAAAATAGCAACTAGTTTTGATGGTTTGTTTATGTTGAACCAACAGAAATTTCCATCATAGTTTCTTAGAAATCAGATGTTGGAACGATCATGTACCACTATCATCCTAATGTAGGAATTCGGGCGGATTTATGATGGTTCAACATAAAACCAAATTGTAAACATAAAACCAAATTGTAAACATAAAACCAAATTGTAAATAAAACCAAATTGTTTTGATGAACCAATCAGAATTAATCAGAGAGCCAATCAGAATATCCATTAAACCATCATGGAAACGTATATTTGGAACTTTCGTGGACCATCACAGATAATCATGGATTGTTGGTCCATGAGAATTAAACTTCTGTTGATGGTTAACCATCATAGTATTTAAGTAGCAATTTTCATCATGGAATGATGGAAGATTGTTGGCATATCAAAAACATGAACGCATAATGGAAAATATTGAATGATGGTGACCATCAAATGATGTCGAACAGTCATAAATTAGTCAGAATTCCTAGATTGGGGTGATGGTTGTTCATGATCGTTCCAACGCTCGTTGATCACTAAGAAACTATTATGAAAATTTCTGATGCTTCAACATGATCAAAGCATCAAAAAAGTTGCTTTTCTTATGTTAGACCATCCTAAATCAGCCCAAATTCTATGTTGCTTACCATCAAAAAATGTAATGGTTCATGATAGAATTTTTGACTGTTACCATCAAGACTATGTTGGTCAATCAATGGAAAACCATCAAAATTTTTGACTTTGGGAAGCAAGTGACACTATTCCCCCTTGAAACTATGAAATTCCTCGCCAGTTTGCAACTTCTCTGCTCTGAACATCCTTAACCTAGGCCCCATCCTGTCTCGTTTAATTTTGTGTCCTAGTGGAGCTGAGATAAAAATTGCTCCTAAGAAAAGAATGAACACCAACTAAATATGAAGCGTTCCAATTATGTTTTGTTCTTTAGATGAGATGTGCTACTTCGAGAACCGCTACTACCCGATTGGACACGTTCTTGACATCAAGCATCCAACGAATTGCGTCACGTGCACCTGCAAGACGCCACCAGACTTCACCTGCATCCACAGTTCATGTCCGCCTCCGCCCAACAACGATTACAAGAACTGTAAAGCAGTCTACAAACCTCATTCCTGTTGTCCAGATTATACTTGCGAAGAAAAAAGTGCCGGTGAGTAGCAAAATATATTAAGTGATTGAAATTGTTTTCTCTGGATTTAAAGAAACCAGAAAACGCAAATAACGTTTGTTTAAGAACCTAACTGCGATTAACCGCATGCATAACATGGTGGGGACAAAGTGAGCTCAAAGTGAACCGGTAGAGTAAATTCCAGTGAAAAGAATCAGAAAAAAACCCATTATGGACAACTCCAATATGGATATGGTAGAAAAGAAATGAATCTATAACTTGCCAAAAGAGCTTTCTGTTGTAATGAATCGAAATGATACCAGTTTGAAATACTAGCCCAAAAAAGTACACTTATTTTTTCTCACGTTAAATTTTCCCGCAACTTATCGTGATTGAATGATACCTAGGCTACAGGTATACCAAAGAGTAATTTATAAACTTTTCGATAACTATCTGAATGATCCGAGTTTTTTTTGTTATGTCTGTTAAAAATACCATCTAATTTAAATATTTCATAAAAGCGAAATATTCCCCCCCCCAATTCATGGTTTATTTTTTTAAAAAAATTTGGATCCGTTAAGTGACCATTCCATTTACATATAACAGTGGCCGTCCTTTTGCCAACGACCAGTCAGCATTAAACAATATCAATCCTTTTTTTTCTGTGCCTTTTTCCTGACTCCAAAAATATAATTTCTATGGTATTTCTGATGTTCTCATTAAAATTAACGTATCAGTTTATCAAAAAAAAATGGTAGAAAATCCATCTTATTTCTATATATTCGGGAGGAATAAAATATTCGTGACTACCATGACTTTTTAAGCGATTCATGTTATACATTATCGTAACATGAGCAGTATCGTTACATGAGCGTTATACGTTACATGAGCGTTAAATCATCGTTGTCGCGAAATTTTTCTTTTCTTCTCCCGAAAATATGCTAAAAATTAAAAGGTTTTTATATGACAATTTTCTTTTCTCATTTCCACGAAAGGCCTTAAAAGGGGAGTTTTTATCGAGATGGAAAGTCAATCATAACTATTACTAACAGAACACCGACCCGTATTAAAAAACTGTAAACAATTTTAATTATGGCATTTTTTTCAATTTATCATTATCTTATCCAAGAAAATAACAAACTGAGCAAGTCAGTTTTTTTAATTTTAATTTTATTTTAAAATAAATTTAATTTATTAGGATAATGTATAGAGTCATTATTCGATGAATAAATGTGTAGGAAAATTTTTCCGGTACGTTACACACTGTTTAAAATTTCGCGGAAAAAATGGTTAAATAACAATTTATTGAATGGTTATTTTACCATATTTAATCAAAGCAGTCAAATAAAATGGTAATGAAACTGTTAAGTTTGAGAAAAACTGTTTATTAATTGCTTTCACCCAATACGATTAAACAAACATAATTTTATCGCACCCACTGGAACCACCTACGGAAGCTATTTAGTCCTTTGCAACTGCGTGCATATCATAAGCGAGCGAGTTTATCTGTCCATCTCATGACCGGCAGAACTAGTGTTGACCCCACACTATTTCCTCCATTCCTTTCAACACATGAAGAATTTCCAGTGGCCGGAACTCTCCAATGCCCATTACCTTACGAAAAGCCGAACTCCTATGTCTAGTTAAAAAATAATTTTTTTTTACGTTTTTGAAAAATGCTAGTTGTAAATGTTTAAAAAACCGTTCAGTTTTGTATTCATGGTGTTATAGTCATACTTTTTGTAAATGGTTTCAAAACCATAAAGGAAAAAATGTACTTTACCGTAAACTTTACGGTTACTCGGGTGGACAAACAGCTGCCAGTTATGATACCTTAATTTTAGAATGAAACAGTGTAGGATTTTCTCTTGCGGCTTATACTAAATACCACTATCTCCTCGCATTTAATACTATTTTGTTGTAATTTTAATTGACTGAGATAGTGTATTAAAATTGTTCGCAGGGGTTTGTCCGGATCCCATCTGTCAGGGGACCAACTGCTGGCTGGTTAAAAAGGCGGACGGCTGTTCGGTGTGTCGTTGCAAGTCTAGGTGCGTTCCCTGTCCTCCGGTCTGTCGACCAGAAAATCCCGCGAATGAATGCTCAGGATGTATTTGCAGAATCAATGATATATTCCGTAAGACCATCTTATTTATTTTAAAATCAACTTCTCATTTAGTAGGCATCATTATTAGTCTATCTTAAAATTGACAAATAAATTTCATCTTGGCAATTTTTTTTAAAAAATGGCAAACTTCAAATTGTTACACCCGAAGTCCTTTAATCTTCAAATCGATGCAATCTTCATTGTTCAAAAAGACGCTGTACAACGGGGAAATCTTTTCATGGTGAATTCGTCTGTACTGGTATTTTAAAATTTAGAATTTAGTAAAAAGGGAGTTCTGGTAATAAGTCATAAGCCTGGAAAATAAGCCATGAAGTTTCAAATGAAGAAAAAATATCTTCAAAATGTCAATTCTTATTGTATAATTATTTATATAGTGTCATTCCAATAATTTTAGAGATATTCATATTACTATAGTATCTTTCATATAGTAAGTGTATCCTTCATATAACTATTGTATCATTCATATAGTAAGTGTATCCTTCATATAACTATAGTATCATTCATATAGTTCTTGTATCCTTCATATAAGTATAGTATCATTCATATAGTTCTTGTATCCTTCATATAATTAGTTATCACTTTTAGAGTTATGATATTATTCACGCATAATTATATTATTTAAATTAATGAACTATAATACAAGTCAGAAAAATAATATGTGTGAAACTAACGATGATTTAAACTGACCGCATTTTCAGACATCTGAAACATCCAAATTCGATAACTCAGATTTATTTAAAAATTTGCATGCTCTGCTATTTCTGCTACACGTGTAACAGAAGCAGCACCATATGATAAACAAGCAAAACTTTTCAACCTAAACTTAAAGAAAATAACAATAGTGACTGAATTAGAAATACCTTTAAAGTCTTAGTATAGAAAAAGACTAACTACAAAACAAATTTTTGTGTGCGACGAAGGCTATTTAATTAGTAAATGCATCGATGTAAATCTCAAGGGCTATCTACAGTGCAAGTTAGAAAAAAAATTACTTTAAGAAACACCGCTTGAAGGTTGTTGATTGTCAGTTATGCATTTATGCCTAAACCAGTTTTATAATTTTGTGATATTCATAATAAAAGATAGCACGAATGTCTGTTTGACTTGTTTAAAATTTCAAAGCTCTTAAATTGTTATGAAAACATATTTATATAGTTTGATAACCAAATAAAACGGAACTATATGCAGTCGTGGATGTTTACTTAAATCCTATACCGCAATAGTCTTTTCTTAATCATAGTATCTACTTTTATCATAGTATCTACTTAATCATAGTATCTGGTCATAGTATCTACTTTTAAGAAATTTTTTTCAAACCAGCATATTGTCAGATTTCATTAAGGTATTAATTTTTTTTTTAAATTTCTCCATAGTGAATTTCTTTTCTGAATCTTTGTAAGTTATTTGTTCATTTTTGTAAGCTGATTTTGTTAATGTTCTTCAATGAATTTTCAAATATATTTTTTGTTCCTACAGGTTTTGATAACAGTCATACAGAAGAATCTCAAGAAGCTGATTCTATGCAACAGCTGATTCAAAAATGCAAGGTACATAAATGAGATGATAAAAGCTTATTTTTAACTTAGCTTATAAAGGTTTTTAAAGGAAAGCAAATATAGATACATTATCTTACACTCAAACAGTTTATAAAATACTTTTTTTTAAAATTATACAGTGAAAGCCAAAATTTTGCAATTTTTTTGGCCTAAAATATTTACTGACTAACAAATAATATTCTTCTAGAGTTGAATTACGCTTTTTATAACCATAATTATAACAGCAAAATTGTCCTAATTTAATAAATGGGCAAAATGTGCCGAAAAATTGCATCTTTTCATAGATAATTTGAACTTTTTACTACCATAATTTTCTCCTACACTATTACCCACTTCTTCCATTTTTTATGCTTACAAACCTGAAAGTATTACATTATGTAATGTTATGTAATTTGTAATGTAATGTACTGCTAATGTTATGTAATTTTTAAAAACTTGCTACATTTTTGCCTCATTTTTCGTTCAAGGTTGATAAAAACGTGATCTTGTAAACTAAACTATGCTATATTGTGTTCAATGTTAAAGAATGTTATTTATGTTAAAAACCATGTAATTTTAAGCAATTGCAACTGGGCAACAAATCAACAAGCCAAATTTTAGAAACACCAGAATTGCAATCAACCCCTCAAAATGGAGAATGCATCAAAACGTTCATTTAAAACGTCATTTAAAAACGCTTCAAAATATCGAAAAAAATTTCTTAAAAAAATATTCGAATTATTACTTATGAAAATTTCAGCTTCCTTTGAACTGCTTCTTATCCATGAAACTTGAAGAAACAACGATGCACTTTTTTATTTCGAACATAAAGTAAAACATTAACTTATGTCCCCCCCTCCCGATTATCAATTCAATGTTCAATTAAAAAAAAGCAGTTATCTGAAACAGTATACACTCCAGTCAAACTTATACTGTAAATAATTGAAATTATAATCAGCAAAACTGTATTCATAAAGCTTAATAGTAAGAGAAAGTAGTGAGGCTATTAGTAGAGATAAATATTAAACGTCAAATATTGTCATCAAATATTGACACATATTTATATTTTTTTAGTTAACTTAATGAAATACTAAATTAAAAGTCAGTAAATGAATGTCAATAAATAAAGCTACCACTAACACAGTAACATATTAGAGAAAGAAACGTAGGGGAAAGAGAAACTATAAGTCAATTTATTTGGACAGGTTCTATTGAAAACAAACAAACAATAGTTCATAAAATAAAAACTGAAGAGTAATTTGATCTTATTATAAAAAATGTCAAATAAAAAGCCAACTTAAAACAATTATGATACAAATAGAGGGGAAAGTAAGTAAACATTGCCAAAGCTTTATTTTCTTAGAATACAGCAAATGTAATGTTTTAAAATGGCTACCTTAAATAAAAACAAACCATTCAGAGAGTCGTAGGAACCATTTTTGTCAACTCATCAAATATGGTAATGGTAACAGAATATTATGTTAACACAGTGGGGGGGGGAATGGTGGGTTGAATGTTTGACTTTTAAACTGAAAATAAAATAAGTTTCTCTTATATATATATAACACAATTTCCACAGCTAGAAAATTAAAATTATGTTAATTATCAGTTGATTTAATTGAAGCTAAATAAAAGAAGATTGGGGCACAGCAATTCATTTGTATTTGAAACATTAAAAATGTATTACACAGGCATTAGTTTTAATATACAAATTCCTATGTATATACATTTACTGAGAACAAAGTAAATTAATTTGAATGCTTAAAAATGTTTTTTGGAATTTTATTTCAGAAATTAAAATGACTTGAAGCCATGGCACATTAAAAGTAAAATCTTCTTAAAGTGGCCCACATATTTGGAAAGAATACTGTATAACAGTTTAATGTTAAAAACTCGCAATTAGAAGAAATATGGTTTATCAATTTATAGCCTCAACCCCTTATAGATATTGCATCATCGTTGCTCTTAAAAGATAAGGCTAAATGTACATAAATAACTTAATTTTATTCATGCCTTTTCAACAACACATTTTTCTTTTATTCTATTTTTAAGTGATTTGCATCCTTTTAATCTTTTAATTCTGGTTATGTATGTATTACCGTTAAAGTGTATAATTTAGTTATTTCATAGAATAATTAGGTATTTCAAGAAATATCTAGACCAGTCGATTAAAGCATATAATACACTGGTGAAAGAAAATAAGAGAATTCGCAGACTCGGTCGATTATCTTTAGAACTACTGAGCTGATTTTAATGAAACTAGATATGTACATTCATTGATACAATACAAAGCAAAAATTGATACAATACAAAACAAATAACCATTCAACAATTGTAATACACACACTCATGATCGTGCGCAACACTCGTTGGAGTCCGAAGGTATGAAATTGCCAGAGGAAATGATAAGCTGTCTTATTTCAAGTATGAAACCACGCTTCAAGGCCTGTATATCTGTATTATATGATATACCAGGCTATTCTATGAAATAACGGATTTCACACTTTAACGATCAAGTAATCGTTATTCTAAAAAACACCTAGTTAAATCGTAGAATTCAATAATTTTATGCACTTTAACTGACTTCTTTCATGATATACCTGGCTATTCTATGAAATAACGGATTTCTCACTTTAACAGTAACGTATGCAGTAAATTTCTATTCACAAAACTAAATGTTCAATTCGGATTTCTCAGTAAATTTTGTAAGAAAAATATCTTTAGTGTTTAAAGTAAATACAAATGTATGAATATTCATTTCAGGAAATGCGATGCCCTCTTAATGAGCGATGTATGCTGGTTGAAAAAAACTGCAGCAGTGGTTCCTGCCTACCAACGCCCCAGTGTAAGTGAAATTCGAACTGTTTGTGTTATGAGTTAATTCATTATGCTCCATTACACACTTCCTCGTTCTTTTTTTCTATACTTATTCTGTAGGTGAAGCAGTGTCATTTGGGTGTGGTCAACCCTCATGTCCCGAAGGCTGCGATGTCATCGGCTCTTATGAAAACAATTGTCCAATCTGCAAGTGTAAAGAGCAGGGTAACATCGCTTAGAAAATTCTATTTTAAAATTGAAAAAAAAAATTTATATTTTCTGATATGTATACCTCATACATGTACACAGTTTAAAAGATATATATAAAAATGGCGAAACAAACGTTTTTCGAAACACGCCATAAAACGAACACTTTTTCTAATACAGCCGTGATGAAACTAGAGCTTTTTGCAAAAAAATATAAATCGATAAATAAAATAAACGCTTTTTTGCTAAAGAACTTGATGAAAAAAAATACTCTTTAGAAATAAAGTATAATGAAAAGAGGAAAAAAAACATGATGAAACAATTAATTTCACTATACAATATAATGAAACAAACCATTTTTGCAGTGCAAAATTTCAAAACATGTAATAAGAAAACAACAGTTGGCAAACTAAACAAACACTTTTCTGTGAGTTGGAGACGCCAAGAGTGATCCACTCAAGAATCGCATCCAGTAAATCAAGCATTAAGAAATCAGATAAAGTGTTCTAGTGTGAAAACTGTATAATTTTTCATAATTTTATGTTTGTACCGCTATTTTCTAGTCTCCTATACATAAAATAGACTGGTGTAAGAAATTGAGAGAATTTGCAGACTGGGTCGATTATTTCCAGAGAACTACTGAGCCGATTTTAATGACATTTGATGTGTACATACATTGGTATAGTACAAAACAAATAATCATTCAACAACTGTAATACACATGCATGATCGTGCGTAACACTCGTTAGAGTTGGAAGGTATGAAATGGCCACAGGACAATTCAGGCCACAGGAAATGATAAACTGCCTTATTTCAAGTACGAAATCACACTGCAAGGCCTGTATAGCTTAGCCCCTATTGACCCATTTTTTTTGTTTGTTCTGTAATCACTGTTTATTACCTTCCCACTCCAACAAGTGTTACGCAATATCATCCACGTGTATTACAATTGTTGAATGGTTATTTGTTTTGTATTTTATCATTGTATGTACAGATCAAATTTCAATAAAATCGATTCAGTAGTTCTGGAAATAATCGACACAGTCTGCAAATTCTCTCAATTTCTTGCACCAGTGTATTTTATGTATAGGAGACTAGAAAATAGCGGTACAAACATAAAATTATGAAAAATTATACAGTTTTTACACTAGAACGCTTTAATCTGGTTTCCTAGTCGGCAAATTTTCTTAATTTTTTACACCAGTGTAGTTTTTAAGCGATGAGTGCAGCTAAGAACTTAAATAAGGCTGTTTTCAAAAGAAAAAAAATTATATGATGATTCTATAAAAGTATAAAAAAAGTCTACTGATCAGAATTGTAAGGTTTTCAAACAATTTTTTCCATAGGTTTTGTTCCCGAAAAACAAAGGGTGATATGCGGTAGAACAACTACTCGATAAAAATTTTGAATGCAATCAAAACGAGTATCGAGGTCAAAATAATTTTTATTATTGAGAATTTTACGACGAATGCACAAGGAAGTGACCATTAGCTGATACACATCGACGTAAATCACGTAGAGTTTGAAATATTCCTGGCATTTCAGTAACGCTTTAACAGCGACTAACGACAATGTCCAGCGATATTCAATGGGCATCTCATAAACGACCCTCTCTAGACGTCCCCATTGTAATAAACCTCCATTGATATCCCCATTTGAATTGCTCACCTTGTTTAGTTTCATCAAAAGACAGACGATTTGTTCAAAAAATTGATCACCAAGCAGGTACTCTCTCGTGATATTCGACCCCCCCCCCCNCCCCCCCCCCCATTGTTGTTTGTGTTCCATTTACCCTCACAGTTAAGATTTGTAACATCTTTTCTTAGAGGACAAATCATATGGAAATTAATTCTCAATTAAATTGACTGAAAATTTTATATGTTGTAATTTAAAGCAATCTGATCAAGAATTTTCATAAACGCTAAGTCCGAAAAGACATATTTTCCCATTTATGAAGCCTCAAACATAGCAGATCTAGTCAATAGGGTCAGAATGGTGAAAGGTGCTTGAAGCGCTCTTGCACGCAGCTTTAAACAGCGGAATCTAGGGTGATGTACCACAAATGTACTTGTGGGTTCTTGGTTTTTGGGATATGCACGTCATAGAGATAACATCAAGTATGTAACTACAAAGTATTATTAATGTATTTATATGATCAGGGGTGATTGTGCTCCGGAAAAAATCTGGATTTCCGGAATTTTCGCTAACAGTGATCTGTAAGTTTCCGGAGATCGAAGGTCCAGACGTTTCAAAATATCATTTTTCACAGAAGTTTCCGGAAATCAAATTTTCAAAGGTGGAACTTAATAACACAGTTTATTTTATTTGTTTGTAAGGGAGAGCCAGAGAGATACTTTATAAGCTTATATTCATGATTAATATTCATTTTTTATCAGTAAATAGTTGTTATAATCATAAACTCAAGAAAGAAA